TGCACATGGAGGTTCACAAAGTGCTGTGCCTGCCACGAAATCTGCACCTGGAGGTTCACAAAGCGCTGCACCTGCCACGAAATCTGCACATGGAGGTTCACAAAGTGCTGTGCCTGCCACGATAACTGCACATGGAGTTTCACAAAGTGCTGTGCCTGCGAAGAAATCTACACATGGAGGTGCGCAAAGTGCTGTGCCTGCCACGAAATTGGCACATGGAGGTTCACAAAGTGCTGCGCCTGCCACGAAATCTGCACATGGAGGTTCACAAAGTGCTGTACCTGCGAGGAAATCTGCACGTGGAGGTTCACAAAGTGCTGCACTTGCCACGAAATCTGCACATGGAGGTGCACAAAGTGCTGCGCCTGCCACGAAATCTGCACAGGGAGGTTCACAAAATGCTGCACCTGCCACGAAATCTACACATGGAGGTTCCCAAAGTGCTGTGCCTGCCAGGAAATCTGCACATGGAGGTACACAATGTGCTGAACCTGCCACGAAATCTGCACATGGAGGTTCACAAAGTGCTGTGCCTGCCAGGAAATCTGCACATGGAGGTACACACTCGCAACCGTCGTTCCGCGAGCCACCGGTTCCATTGAAAAATACAGCATTTCGTGCGTTCGCTATCTCTCCGCAACGCATTTTGTATTGCGCCTGCCACGAAATCTGCACATGGAGGTTCCCAAAGTGCTGTGCCTGCCAGGAAATCTGCGCATGGAGGTACACAAAGTGCTGCGCCTGCCACGAAATCTGCGCATGGAGGTTCACAAAGTGCTGTGCCTGCCAGGAAATCTGCACATGGAGGTACACAAAGTGCTGCACCTGCCACGACATCTGCACATGGAGGTTCACAAAGTGCTGCGCCTGCCACGAAATCTTCACTTCAAGAAACAAGTGAAAACTCTAATCCCAATGGACGGACGATTCCGAGAATGATCCGAGAATGATCCGAGAATGACCCAAGACCGTCTCGCAACCGCCGTTCCGCAGACCTTGACTTGCCAGCTTCGGAGCCACCGGTTCCATTGAAAAATGCAGCATTTCGTGCGTTCGCTATCTCTCCGCAACGCATTTTGTCTTGCGCCTGCCACGAAATCTGCACATGGAGGTGCACAAGGTGCTGTGCCTGCCACGAAATCTGCACGTGGAGGTTCACAAAGTGCTGCACCTGCCACGAAATCTGCACATGGAGGTTCACAAAGTGCTGCACCTACCACGACATCTGCACATGGAGGTTCACAAAGTGCTGCACCTGCCACGAAATCTGCACAGGGAGGTTCACAAAGTGCTGCACCTGCCACGAAATCTGCACCTGGAGCTGGAGTTGCCTGGAGCTTGAGCTGTTGAAACCAGAGCTGGTGTGTGATCAGTCGTGTATGATGAGTGGTGTATGATGAGTGGTGTATGATGAGTGGTGTA